TCTCACTAGCCCGTTGTCGGTCGCACTATTATTGCGGACGAGTTTGTGAAAACTGTCAAACTGCCCGAAGAAGAGGAAAAATTTTAATCATAAAAATTTTAGCTAATAAACATGTGCATATTTACCTACATAGATGTTTTGAAAAGTGAGAAAATATCAAGTGAACCATTAGTTCAACGTTATTGTGTTTGCTGCCGCTCAAATCTTAAACTTATAATTTTGTGCGATTTGACGTTTAGAGCCGCCCTTCCGTATCAACATGAAATTATGTCGGTGGCTGGTCTGAGGTCTTAGTTTCGGTCCCGAAAATGGGTTTTTGCGATCGCGTACTTAGAAAGATAGATATTTGAATACGACTAGGTAGGTCTATTGCTCCCTCAGCTCATCACAGTACCTAACCTAAGCCCTAGATGCTTCAGAAATTTCAGAATTGATCCAGAGGGTTGAGAGAGTATGTGGTACTCTCTTGGCCATAAATTTAGTACTTACGCTCATTTGCCCAAAACTAGCCCGAAAATTTAAAAAATCAAATTATCTGTTTTTACAGGGTGCCGAAAAAATCGTTTTCTTGGAACAAATTTAACTTTTTTTGATGCATACATCGTGATACGGTCTAATGTACTTAAATATTCGTACTTATGCGATGTTTTCAAATTTTGTTTCATGTAACCGAGTAGTAGATAAATTGTCACGTAATATAAGTAGGGGTAATGATTGTTTCGCAAGAGACATGTGCGCCTTACACTTATTTGTGTGTTTATGTAAAAAAAAAAAATTACTCTGCAGGGAAAGCTTCTAAGGGTGCGAACAGAGTGGCCGCTTGTTGCCGAGCCGAGCCGACTGACGCTTATTGCGAGAACTTGTTCATGCGAGAAACAAGTTTGAGTGTGCATAGTGGATGCGAGAATCAGCGCTGATATTTTATCTATTATTTGTGTTTTATGTATGTTTGTATGCATTTGGGTTTGTTGTTCATTCGTGTTTGTGAAATTGAAGTGAAAAGATATGGATTCGTCAGATGATGAGTATTTAGCTTCGGCTACTGTTTTAAAGTATTTTATCAATAAAAAATCATTTGGAAAACATCCAATAAATGATAAACGAAGTGAATTTGGAGAATTTCATCACTTATATAGTGATTTAAAATAAATAAATAAAAAAATAAATAAAAAAGATTTTTTAATAACAATAATTTATTTATTAGGTTTTTCTTATGTATTTTATATTAATCGAAAAATTTTTTTTATAATTTTTATTTTATTTTTATTATGTTTTTTAATTTTTTATATGTATATTTTATTTACTTCTTTTATTACATTTTTTTTTAAATTTTGTTTATGTTTTTTTTTTAATTTTTTTACTATTGTTATAATTTTATTTAATTTTTATTATTTATTTGAATTTTTATTTTTTTGTTTAATTTTTATTTTATTTTTTAATTTTTATTTTATTTTTAAATTTTATTATTTTTTTAATTTTTTGATTGCATGTTTTATTAACTTTTTCTTAAATTTTTGTTTTTAATTTTTTTTTATGTTTTCCAAACAAGTTGAAATCATAACAACATAACATAAACAATGTTTTCGGCGCTGAAATACGCTTTGGAACTGTTTTCTCGCATTCAATCAGCTTTGCGCTCTGACCAGCTCGGCGCCCACTATGACCTGTTCGCGCTTATTTGTACTAATTTGTATAGTACCAGTTTTCTCGCATTGGTTCTCGCAATAAGCGTCAGTCGGCTCGGCTCGGCAACAAGCGGCCACTCTGTTCGCGCCCTAATTGTTGTGAACTATGCAGAATGCTACCAGTTTGCGTTTCAGCCCAACTAATTCAAATTCTATCCCTTTTCAATGTTAGCGACAGATGTTTTTAAAACATGGCGGTGTCACACGAGATTTCAATTGTCCGCTCCTGCATCAGCCTACCTACTAGTAGAAGTAATAGTCGTCGTATACATACTAATTAACGGGATAGTTCATTTCGCTTGCGGCGCTTCAATAGTCGCGATGGCCGACAGAGCTTAGGCACTAACGTGACATTCCCGAGATCCGAGAATCGATGCTCAGTATCGGAAATTTTTTTCTCTTTTTAAGGTATTTTTTTATTGAAAATTTAATACAACTTTTAAATAAAATTTTTTTAAAAAGAAAAATCTTTTGGTTTTGGAATTTCAGTGTAATTTTATGGTAACGTTATTTATTTGATTTTTTTCTCAAGTTTGAAATGGTAGACGTTGCTGATAAGTGATTCGCAATTGTCGATCTGACAGGCCTCGACAGGCTTTGGCTCATACTAGTTAATGAAGTGGTATTTTTACCGACTGGTTTGGCTTTTCACTGCAGGGTAGTTAGCTTATGTGTTACTAAGTGCGCGGAAGTGGCGAGCGCCTTTGTTAAGTTCTTTAAATGATGTATGAATAATGGAAATGTGCGTTGGTGCGTGGATGTACATATGTATCGTCTACGTTTGTTCATATCGGTCTTTGACTCTGTCATTCCAATAATACAAATATTTTGGCGCTTATAATTTTGCCAGATGTTTGGATTTGTGGCGTTCGTTTTTTACACAAATGGAGTGATCTTACATTTTTACGCCGCCTCCGAATGGCAAATGGATTTTATGCGAAACTTTTTCATGTGAGATTTACACTCGGAGGTTTGTCATTCCCTGCCGAGGCGGTCTATTAGAAAAACACTTTTTATAATTTAGTTGCTGACCGGATCCGAGATCGAACCCAGGTCCTGCGAAGTGGTAGTGCGCACCCGCAACTACTCAGCCACAGCGGACGTCCTCGCCGTTCTACTTAGCATAAAATTGCGTACTACGTGCGTTTCTTGCAATATAATCGTTCCTAGTGAGTAATTTCGAGAGCGATATGACATTATATTACAGGGAGCTCTCTTTCAAGATGTGATATATTGGCAAGGGATAGAAAATGTGGCCAGGTTGAAATTCCGAATTTTTATGAAACAATTTTTCGTGCTTTTCTGGGTCAATTCTTGCTCGGTTGGTCAGATTGCTTTGTCATCCTGGTGACAAGACATTGTCAAATCTTAGCTATTTTGAAACCACAAACTCGTACAAACCTACATCGAATTGGCGACTTTGAAGAATCTCAGTTTGTTAAATAGACAGGCATTACTTTGAAATATTCCGCAATTCTGCAGGCATGATAATGATTTAGGAATGTGTTTCTTACGGCCTCCTGAAAAAGCTTGTGCTCTATGGTAGGCTATAAATGGCTTCGGATTGAGCTGCTCAGTGAATCTACCCTTCTTTGATCCATCGGGAAAACAGTCGTGCCCTCTTAGTATTTGGTTTCTCCCCGATTACACTCACCAGATCTTTGGATTGAAGTAGTCGATAAGCAGCGCTTTTATACCAGATGGGAGTCTATTTAGGATATCGTTATGTCTGGGTGGACTTTGTTTTCAATAACCTTCGATAAAAATATTCGGCAGTAATAACATCAAGCAGAAACATTCGGAGCCTCTTTTGCTCAGGATCTCAGTGCTCCCGTTACTCTGAATTCCGCAAAGTTTTTAAGGACGTAATCTTGGTTGGAGCTGGTCGATCTAGAGTCTTGTAAATAAATTCATTGTATAATTTTTGACTTCCAACTTTATCTGTTGGTTAGCATTTTTTGGCAGCATAAAAGTCAAACGACTCTTCCCTTGCTTGCTCCTCAATGCCAAGCCTCCAAAAAAATTCTGGGATCCAGAGCAACTCCAAGATATTTCACCCGAATAACCGAAGGGAATTGGTCATATGCAAGTGTAGCTACATCTTCGACGTAAGCCAAATTTCATTGTCCTCTTTTCCAGTTTTTTTTTATTTACAGAATCATCTTCGATCTGCTCTGTTTTACAGTCTCTGCTGCGTAAGGGATATTCCCTTTAACAATTAATCCCAAGGTGTACACATTGAATAATCGCATACTTAATAGGGAATAATAAGGTGAGACCAAAGATCTCTTCTATCAATGCTTGTAGCGCATCTACGAGCGCTATGCAAACACGATATCAAAGTCGTGCACAAAGCAGGGAAAGACGAATACTTCCTCTGCGATGGAGAAGAACTTGACTTCACTTGTCGTCAAATGACATCAAAGACAAACGACTGGCATGCTTTATTTTACTCGGCCAATATTACTTTGTAGTTTACAGCGCCTAACAAGAAATAGAAGGAAATTAGCTTTTCCCAGAAATATACATATTTTACTATTAATTTAGAAATAATGACTAGTTTCTCATACATAGCAATATATACCATCGCGTCTTCACTTTGACGTCAATGAATGCCTTCCAAGCACCTGGTGGGCATGCCAGACATATTTCCATCCAAATAGCAGGAATATCACCGCAAATGTTTTCCCTCTTAACCGGCACCCAGTACACCCTCTCAAACGCTGCGAGCATCCTACTGAACACCAAATCATTGATGTGATATATGATATCTCACTTTGATAGCGTGGTACAATGTTGCCAGAGTGACAGTTGAGGGCCAAAAATGTCAACCGCATAAAACGTCGAAATTTTGCATATCAAAGCTGCGACATCGAGCGATGAATAACGGTAGGGGGTGGAGCGGGTGGGATACGGCTCAAGTGGTGGCGTAGTATAAATAGCTTAACGAGAAAGTAGCAGATCACGATGACAGTTTTAAAATGTGTACCATACACAGGCACACACACACGCACACATCGCCATGCTTTGTGCGCAACTATTTATGGTATCCGACAGGAAAAATGTCGCCAAATGGTTTACAAATGAAAATTGTTGGAAGACAAGCATTTAGGTATTTAGGGACAGGTTAGCGAAGGTGGGTTGCGGTGTTAGCTAAATGCTTCTAACCGACGACGCTAATGCAATGTTTTTTCTTCTTTTGTTTTTGCATTAATATTGCTTACTAAGGAGCTTGAACGGTTGCACAAATTGCCTGCACAGCAAATAAATAGAAGGAAAAAATGACGAATGCACTCAAATCCATTAAATGCTCGCTACATTTATTTTCAAAATATTTTTACATACTAACGTTACTACATACATATGTACATACATTCATATACATATGCGCCAACACTAAATATATATATAAAATCTTAGTCTCTACACAATTATTGTTTTACAGTTTGCCAATTAAATCGATCACAAATTTCTGCATCACTTCAAGTAAAAATACACATTTTCCAGGTTTATTGGCACTGCGGTCAGTTTTTCTTAGCTAGAATATTTCCTTAAATTATATTATTGATGTTGTTTTTGTTTTATTTTATATTAGTGGAAGCACATCAAAGAAGCCATCCATGATATAGTGGCTGTTGGTTGCTTCCATTTCGACATAATTCCGCTCGCCTTCTTGCCACTGTACTTATCACAGGCAGCGCCGCTCGCAGGCTTCCTTTGTGCAAAAACGATTCCGATTGCCATAGCAGCCTTTGTAGTTGAATTTTTTGCAAACTCCTTTATCGAAAAACCAGCGCGTCTGTGTGGTGGAGTGCTGGTTTTTGTTGCAGAAATAGCCTTCATTCTGACCCATATAGCAATTCACTTGATCTGTGCGGGAGAAAAATGAGGCAAAGGAGAGGAGTGTAATGTTAATTAATATTTACCAATTAAAATGCTTATTTTGCAATCACAGTGATTTCAGTATTTATTAATATTTATTAATGCTGTGTGCTTGCCTTTCATTGCTGTTAAGCGAAAGAAACTCTCCTTTCTGTGTAGGCCAGAGAGAATAGTAATTACTTATTTGATTTATGCCTGAATGACTGAAAAGGATAATTTTTCATTTTAAGTTAGGCAATTAAAAATTAATGCATTGTATTAGTATTCTGGGTGTGTATTACAAAATTATATTTACTGTTTATTTGTTTAATGTTGGTAGCTTTCATTTATTATGTCAGCTCAAAATAGATAAGCTAAAACTGTCGAAGTGGGCCATTTTTCCACGGCAAAAAACGTGGGGGAAAAATCCTGCGGCTCAAGGCCTCGGATACTCAGATGGATATATACCCTCATTGCTAAACGTACGGAGCGGTGGCCTGAGACTCCAACGGCAACCTAGCGACTGTAAAGCCCTCACTCACAAAACCAAAACGTCTTGCTTGTGCATGCAAAACAGTCACGATCTGTACCTACTGGCTCAAAAACTCTCGGAGGCATCGGAGGTGGCATCTTAGCAACAAGATAAAGGACCTCGGTTCTAGTATTAAACAACAGCCGGGCTGCACTCAGGCTACTTCCCTGGCATGAATTCAAATATTAATTAGAACATGAGTGCTAGGCGAGACTAAGTGCCTAAATAAGAGGCAAATAGCTGAACCTTCCTCCTCTGAGTTTCGAGCCACAAAGGCAAAGAGAGCAACCAAGAGGTGGAAATGCTTGCCACGAGTACTGCAGCAATAGGGGACCACACATCATCACAGTAGGGAAGAAAGAGCAATTAGACATAAGTACTGATGCCAAGTCTTTGGGCAGTTCCTGGCATAGAAGCTATTTGGGCTTAAAGACATGACAAGTTTATTAACCGCCCAACCAGCAAATTAGGAATTCTAACAAATTGGAGATTAGGAAGTCACATACATAAACTCGGGGTCTGGTCAATCAACTGAAACTTATGAGGGCATACGATGCAGGAAGGAGAAGGCCGAGAAAATCAGGGACCGAAAATAACAGTTATTTTTTTAACAGTTAAACTTAGTCAAATATTTTTTAAGCTCGAAATAAAAATCCTTTCCTAATAATAAAAAAAATCGCTTATCCAAATTAAACAAGTGTGGTATCAAATGAAAAGCGACTGAAATTTGAACTCGACTCGAATTAAAAAAAATCATAATTTCTTAACTCTTCTTATTGAATAGGGGGTTTTTCTAAAAAGTGTAAAATTATGGATCGTTATTATGAAAACAAAATTCGAAGTCGTTTTTCTCAAGAATTTTTATGAAAAACTGTTAACAGTGCTACAAAAAAAAAAACACGGTGTTCACCCGAAAAAAACTGAGGGAAGGTGTCTTCGGGTACAACATGAAAATAGCTTACTTATAATTTCTGAACCCTCCGCTTTTTCAAGTAAAAAACATTATCTTCTACTTTGCGCCTTTATCTATTAAAATATTTACTATTTTTCGTCTAATTTTAAAAAAGGGGTTTCATATTTTTTTTTTTTTTGCAAGAAAACTTATAACACTTTTTTTGGTACCCTATCCCAATGGTAGTCCATTCTATTGAACAAATTTAAATAATACTATTTATACAGTGGAACTCCAATAAAAATTTTTGATTTTTTTGTAGTCTTTTATGAAGGTATCGCGTTGAAAAGCCACAAGGAATTATGACATGAGCATTGTTAGAAAGTTCTAAATAAATAACGTCGAGAATGAACACTTTTCAAAAATTATTAATAATGTATAGAATTCACAATAACAACCACCCTGTCAATATGGAATGGTGACGAATCAGCCGCACTTGATACGAATAGGTTGAACGAGGTGATGTATAAGCAACAAAAGTTTACTGGCTTTGTTTAGCTCAGTGGTTAGCGTTACTGACTTTGCACATCGATTCCTGCTGAAGTCTAGCGAAGGAAGTCTAATGAGCAGGTATGGTGTTCTCCAATATATCAGCTTTAACTTCTAACGCTTAGACTACTAGTATGTTGCTTTTTCCATTTTCGCTATCAAAAAAAAAAACATGGTTCCAGTTCAGTAGTGACCCGAATTGGTCTACTGCCAAGTAAATCCTTTCAAAAAATAAAAAAATTAAAAATATCTGTAATTCTACTCAAAAGCCAACCAAATTTTGACATTCAACTAAGGTAATTTGGCAAACATAAGCACCAATAATGGTCTTTGTGACTTGAAATTTCTTTTTGTATTTTTATAACTGCAATAAATTATATATTAATATTTAAATATTTCTTGCCTTGAACTATTAAAATAAAACTTTTATTACCAACCCAGTTTCCACATTAAATATCCGCGTGCATTTGCTATAAAACTATCTGGAACCTATCATAAAACATTTATAATAAATAAGAGAAAGCATTTTAGGCTGCCTGATAGAGATTACAGTTTTTTTCATTATATTAAAATAAGTTCTCATCACTTTCCAATTATGTTCTTGACACAGTTTCAGAAATTCTGACAGATGCGCAATTGCCATAGAAAAACACTAAGTAAATATATCTAAGCAAATAAAAAGAGGGTGCCACAAAATTTACGCAAGCTTGGAAATAACGTAAACTTTTTGATTAAAAATTAACCAAGATTAAAAGAATGTTTAGCCCTTTATAGTTTCCAAATAAAACGCAATGCCATACATACTTTTATGTACATGCTTAATTTTTGAATAAAAAATTAAAACTAAAGAACGTTTATTTCTACGTAAGTATGTAAATCTTGCATACATTTTGGGGCACCCTTTTTCCCCAATACAATTCCACCAATAACTAACTATACAGGGCGAAGTGTGCCAAAGATGCATCTGGGCAAAAAGCCATAGGTTTTAATGGATATTCACAAATAATTACGGGTGCGGGAGCGGGAGCGGGCGCGCAACAAGGAAAGAACTTAATATGTTTAAACATATTCAAAACACAACTATAAACAGTATAAATATATTTTTAAGTTAAAACATTTTGTGGTATTTCTTCAGGAAAGCCTAAACGGACAAATTTAAATTTGATTTGTGTGCTTAGTTTACATGGATTTTCCATTATAAGGAAAAATATTTGCCGAAATTTTTGAGAACAAACTAGTTTGACATGAAATATTAAAAACTATCAGAGCAGTTGAAAAACTATAGCGGTTTACTTTGAGAATATTTCAATAAGTAAGTCCACGAACTCTACAGGTCAGACACATACGACACACTCGATCGAGCGGAAAGCGATCAAGGCTGAAGTTGTTTAAGAATAAAAAGCAAAGAAAAGGATTCCAATGCTGGAAGTACATATGTACATATATATATATCGTCGTTTAAAGTAAAAAACCGCGTATCGTAGTTCTGCAAAACCTCGAAACTAACTTTTGTGGAATCAGAGCCGTTGGCGATTGTCTTAAAGCATTGCCAAATATCTTGGTGTAAAATATCCAAAAAAAATTTGGCTTAAAAAACGTTGCCATTCATTCATTTTTGACCGCCACGTATGCGCACATTATTTAATTGCGCAATTTATTTAATTAAAACTGGTTCGAAAATTTTTACAAATTTAGAAATCTAGATAAAAAAATATTCAAAACTTGGCCTCAAATCATAGCTCATGTGGGAATCATTCCCGATTTTTATACTCTATTCCCACCACAGATGAATAATGTACGGTTTCAGAAATTTCAATAGTTCTTTGTCCCTCCAAATTGAATTTTATCGTTTACATGCGTTCACTTTTTAAAATTTACAAAATTGTCAATTCACTTCTCCCAACTGACACAGTAATAATGACAGCACTTCGCCGATTTCGACAAATCAAATTAATGACCATTTGCTTACTCAGTTCCTTGCAATGTGCATTGTGTTCCGCCTGCGTCATTGTGGACATGGCCAACGCCACGCAAATGACAAATGCGATCGCTGTTGAACACATGTCTTGCTTTCTTTCTGTCTCTGTTTGTTTGTTCCAAATCGCCAGACGTCAGGCGTGAGTAATGATGTGGAGCAGCGCTGCGATGATCAGCGATCAGGCAACTGCGGTGCCGACAAAAGAAGCGCCAAGTGGTAAGCAAAAAAAAAAAACCAAATGCAATCAGCAAGGCTCCGCGACGCAAACGCGACTAACGAGGGCGCGAACTGATGACCGACTGACAACCGTGATAGCAGAATTTGGCTAAATGCACTGCACACTTGCTTAGTATTTAAAATATTTAAGTTTTTTTTTTAACTTGGATAATTGAAAATCTCGAACTTTTGTCTGTTCAGTTAATTGCAACACCAGCAACACCACGAACCGCAAAATCTGACCGCCAACTGAGGCGTCCAAGCGGCTGTCTTCCGCTTTTATACAAACGCTATGGCGCTGTTATTGTTGTTGTTGTCGGACATATGGTGCAAAGTGGATGGATATAGCACACATTCCGAGAACGTATCTTAAGTACATACAAGTAATAAGGAAAATTGGAATTTTTCGTTAAGTGTGCTTTCGAAAATTTGAAAATTTTGAAATTTGCCGAATGCCTTTGAAGTGCGATGTGACGAGCATTCAAAGGAAATTGCTTTCGTATTGGGTATGTGTTCGGTGTTGCAAAGTGCTAGAAAATAGTTTGAAGAATGGCATTAAAAAAAAATTAAGTTGAAAAGGCGCACAGCGAATATTAAAAATCTGTCATAGTATTGATGAAAATTTCTCATTGCCGCGCACTCACTTTATGATTAACAAATGTTACTGGAACAAGAAGAATAAGAGGGTTTCTTTCGGCGGTGGTGTGGTGTAGCTTTATAGAATTTACCCAATCTGTTACTGAGTTACCCAGAGTTCAAAAGTCAATTAATAACAATTTTAAGAAGCTACTCAAAACGGATGCTGTGCTCTTTCGCCAAGCGATGCCTGACAGGCTGACACTATTCCAACAAATTTGTTAAATGCCACAAGTCAAGAATAAGTGAACACATATAACCCAAACGTTGTTATAAATTGATTTCTAAATGAAGATTGATTTTGCGGGACAAAAAATGAAAAAGTATAATTAAATTAGCAAAGTTCAGAACAAGCGCCCAGGGAGCAAACACTTCCATTGGATTGTGAAAGGCGTGAAGGGAGGTGTCTAAGTCAGGCACGCTGACCAGTTCGCAAACCAACAGCCTTCGAAATGGATGCACGGACGACACGGATACTCGCCTACAACTACATATGTACATAAAGGCACAGTATGTCTGCCGGACGGTCGGACAGTTAATTGAATGATTCAACTGAAAAAAAAAAAATGTTGTTCAACTTTGGTTTTCCATTTAATCAAACTCAAATAAAAGTCCAGTAATTTTAGATTTTGTTGGGTTCGAAACAGTTTAAAGTTTTCGGTCATACTTGGCTTCAATGTTAATTTTGACTGTTTGCAATGGCTTTGAATACTTTTGATGTGGGCGAGAAAGATTCAATGTCAGGAAGATGTTTGTAAACAAAATTTCTGTGAAAATTGAACTTAAATAAAAAAATATATATATTGGGAGTGAGCACAGAAATGACGTAAATGCGTATAATTAGTTTGGAGAATTAAAGCATATTGTTTGTGATTTGTATAATTAATATTGTTATACTAAAAATTTATGAGGAGATGTGGTGATCCCCGAAATAGCAGTTAAAGATTCTACCGCTTATACTTTGTAGCCTTTTTCATTTTTCCTAGCAAACAAATCGTGGCTGCCGATCTGCGTGTGAAATAAATCTTTTTAGAGAGCATTAAATTTTGGTTAACCGCAGATTTATGCGGATTAAAATATCACAAATTATTTTGAATATTTTAAGAAAACATCTACCATCATTGATTGCAATTCCTCAATTTAAGCTTTTTTTAACAACTTTATTTTAATCAATTAAAGCTTTTATGTATTACAATTATGTATTTACAAGAAATATTTAATGTAGTGTAATACTTAGCTACCTAATATTTTTTTATGTTTTTGCTTACATTTGGAGCAGACAATTTGTACACATCAACAATCTTTGCGATTTGCAGAATTTTCTATGCTTTGATCAAAAATTTCCCTAGCTCATGAATCCACTCACCCAACCTCATATTTGTTAAAGATTTACTCGCGGCGAACTTTATTACCAATTCACACACGCTCAAAGTCTGAAAAAAAACTGGGAAAATTTTCGTAAATTTGCATATTGACATATATATTTTTTTGTCATAAAAAAAAAACATTTTGTCATTTCAGAACTGGACATATACTTTTAATTATTTTAAACTGGAAATACATTTTTGGAAATTTTAAGGCGGACATAAATAAAATCTTTGTATAAAAAAAACAAATACCTATTTTGCTCATTAAAGAGTAGGACAAAAATGTGGCTAAAAAGATTTGTTGGTCATTTAAATTTTTGCTAATATTAAATATAGACTTACATTTTTTGTTCTTTAAAAATGGAAATTTAAAAACTGAGCATACATTTTTGTTAACGTTCGAAGGGGGTCATTTCGGTAATTTAAAAAAACTGAGAAAAGAACACGAAAACTTGACCGTCCTGGTGCAGGGCTGAATAAATGCAACATTTTTTCGAAAAAAGAAAACGCTATAACAATCATAGCCAACAGCAGAGTCAGTGTTGCCACACATGGATTTTTCATACCAAAACTGCTGGATTTTGGTTGGTTGCACACAAAAATAGTTATTTGCGAATAATAGAAAATATGTATCTCCAAACTGATGTCCACCCTTGTCCCATTTACCAAAATAAGGAAAGTCAACTTGACTAGATCCACCTTGGCAGGGACAGAAATTGAGTGCTAAGTAGAGGTGAAGTATCTAGGGATAACTTTGAACAAAAGGCTTAGTTCGAACTCACATCTCTCGAATGTAGCCTTGTTTTTTATGCCTGCCAGACATTTGATGATAAGACTTGGGGAATATCCCCTAAACTAACATTTTGGTCTTTCATTCAATACGGTAGTGGCCAAAAGCTAAGCAAGTAAACCTAGGTGCCACATTGAGCAACTGCACCGACAGGTCCGCGTTTCCATAACAGGAGCTATGCGCATCTTGGTTTCATTACAGGCATTCCTCAGCATGAAAAGTGGAGATCTTGGGGTCATTTGGAGGTTCTTAAGTCGTTCCTGGATGATCCCGAATTATTCTTCAACAAACCCTATAAGGTCAGAACACTTGAAAGGGACTGCCGTGAAGCGATAATATTGATGATTGACGAAGGGTCCCAAGTATAGTATACTGATACATCGAAAACGGACGGCGGGAGTACTGTGGCAGGCCCAATAGTGGCCAAAGGACCTTCAGCCAATCATTGGTAGGTAAATTTACAACGGTTACAGGAAACCGGCATTCAGGATTTCGCGCTCTGAGCAAGACTGATGATTGAAAGCGTTTAAGCAAGCAGAAAACTGTAAATAAAAGCGACGCAAACCGGCAAATAAACCAGCAATGGCTGCGACAGTTCGCTGATGTGGGGTCTAATGGCTTATACTGGTATCTTCAACCGAGGCGCATGTGGGTCGAAGAAACAAACAAACTAAAAAAAAAAACGCAGCAAAAGGGCAACAGCTAGGCTACATATAGCAAAGCGCTGGATTTTCTGGTAGAAATATAGCAGATACGTTTGTAGCTAAATATTTTTGGTACACTTGAGCGTATAAGCGATATTATTGAACAAAAAAAAAAACAAACCCAACTACAAAAGAACGCTGATACTCTTATAGCCAATGGCAATTTAATGTATGTCTTTCAGCTTGTTGCTAATATATGCGAATACTTATTTATGTATGTATGTTTGATGTCACTTCAGTTTCGGTCACGTTTTCGGACTTTCGGACTGTCGGAATAAGAGATCACGAAGCTTTTGAGCGTAGTGCAAAATGTGAGCGTATTGTGCTCGTTTTGCGCACTTTTTCCCTAGAAAAATATAGCACTCGGAAGCTTTTTTTTCGCTCTGTGGATGGCAATCACTTAGAAATTTCCCCATGCAGCTTATTGCTAGTGCGACGAACAACCAACTATTAGTAGTGGCAAGAACGGCGTTGTTAAGTTACTTGCACATGTACTTGCTCGCGTATTACTAAAGAAATACATCAGCCGCTGTAGCTGGTGTCGATTTATCATATAAATATGTATGTACTTATACATACATATATACATAGGTATATAATTACATACATTACTATAGATATATTTATTTGAAATTATTGTAAGAAAGAAATCCAACTAACGGCACTTTTTTTCTTTCCTTTTAAGTAATATTATATGTTGTAAATATTAGAAAAAATTGGACCAGAAATACGGATTTTCCAGATATCCTGCGCCTCCTATCAGGCAATGTTTGTTTGGATTAATTCATATTTGTCTTCCATTGTCATCGGGTTCACTTTAGTGGTATCAATCGTTATTTCTTCCTATTAAGTTTCATCAAAAACGTGCAGACTCTTACATGGCAAATAAGAAGTACTATTTCCTGCTCATATATCATAAAAAAGAAAAAAAAATCATTTTGCTAATTGATAACGCGAAAGTGATAAGTCGCGGCGTAGTTAGTCTCATTGCAATAATATAGAGAATTACTTACTCCACAATGTAGTAGGAAAATTAAGCTAACAATTCTGGTCCAATTGGACCAAAACGGCAACGCTGACAGTGCCGCTGCAACTTTCCTAATACTTTCCCCCCCCCACCCCTTGTTGTGAAGGAACTCATTTATTTTTATTTGTCCATTTTTTCAATCCGGTAGTAAGCGCACAGCTCTGTTGTAAGACAAGCGATTATTCCTGCTTACTGCCAGCAATAGAGGATAGAAGTAATATAATACTAAGTACGTGGGAATAAGGACGAACGGATGCAAGCACTCAGGTCGGGAGCAAACCATTAATCACTCGACTATTCGCGTTGTAGAAAGTCCGGCGTAACTCATTTCCACTCTGCTAATGCTCTACCATGAAATTACTAGGTGTGGTAATTCAGATCAATCAGTCGAATGCGCCATATTTCGGCAATATCACTAGACCCTTATATCCTTCCACACTGTTTCTACCACCGAGCCGGAATATTTTTTCTCTCTATCTTATATATAAAAATAAGTGCACGTTTTTGGTGTGACCTCATAACTTGAGAACGGCTTCACCGAATTCAACCAAATTTATGCGGCATATTCGGGCTATCATGCAGATGGGTTATGTGAAGTTTGCTTGAATTCGGAAAAGGGGGCGTGGTGCCTCTATTTTATATATAAAAACTAGTGAGTTAGCTTATAACTTGAGAACGGCTTCACC